ACACACACAGACACACACACACACACACACACACACAGACACACAGACACACAGACACAGACACACACACAGAATGGCAGAGGTTTAATGATCAGCATCTCAGCATGTCTCCGTCAGACAGTTAACACTTCACATCAACTAACACACACCGCTGAGTGTGTGTGTGCGCTCATTACTGTGAGAGGTAAACAGCCGTGTGAGAGATGCTGAGTGTGTGTGTGTAGAGGATCAGATGATCACAGCATCACCAATGAAGAGGAAACATTCACTCTCTCAGCTCATTACAGCACACACAAACACATCGACTACAACCCATTCATAAAGACAAACCGCTTTTCATATTTTTGATATGAAAACTTGCGTCAGAACTTTCAGGACATTCCAAAGTTTAGAGAGACAACGAATCATAACATGATATTATAACTGTTCCAGTAAAGCTCTGCAGTCACAGAAGACACCATACATTTATTATTACTAGAAATCCAATATTAATTTCCTAATTACATATTTATTAACTATTTACTTACAATTAATTAATTCAATATCAACACCAGCATTCAAAAGTTTGAGGTATGTAAAATTAAGTATCTTATTCTAACCAAGGCTGCATTTATTTGATCAAAAAACAGTAATTTTGTGAAATATAAAATAACAGTTTTCTCCTCAAATAGAAACTGTTTTCCTTTGAAAAGTAATGTATTCCTTTGATGGCAAAACTGAATTTTCAGTAGTAACATTACAAATGTTTTTACTGTCACTTTTGATCTATTTAATGCATCCTAAATGAATAAAACTTAAAAATCTTAGTAACCCCCAACTATTGAATGGTAGTACACATAATTACTATATATTAATAAATAAAGTAATATAAAAAAAGATAAGTATATATTTTCTATAAATATGTAAAATATTTTTTATAATTTTATTAATATATAATAAATAATATTTATACAACTTTTTTTATTCCACAGTTCTAACATAATGTAAAGCATATTTGCCAAACATAAATGACACAGGTAAGATTTTTGGGTCACACTTTATTTTAAGGTTCAATTCTCGCTGTTAACAAACCATTAACTATGACTTTTGCCTCAATAAACTCCTAATTTGCAGCTTATTAATAGTTAGTAAGGTAGTTAAGTTTATTGAGTAGGATTAGGAATGTAGAATATGATCATGCAGAACATGTGCTTTATAAGTACTAATACACAGCCAACATGTTAATAATAGGCATGCTAATAAGCAGCTAGTTAATAGTGACCCTATACTAAAGTGTTTACTAAATTTGTGTAATAGTACTAATAAACTGAATATGTTACATACACAATATCCATCTTTACTATTAAAATGTAGCAATTTTTGCAATAACAACATTGTAAGTGTGTTGTGTGTGTATTACCTGCCATGACGACAGGCTGTGTAGACCGATCCATCCTCACTTCCCACCACAAAGTTATTAACGTCACCCAGAGGGAAGGACATGGAGGTGACCGCAACTGATTTAGACTGCTTAAACACCAGCTCCATACTGTCCTGTTGACACACACACACAGACACA